TGAAATATTTCCCTCTCAGAGTCTAGCTGACGCAGTTACAGTTCGTCTCAGAGCCTGGTCCTTGGGGATGAGGACGTTCGGGACATAAACCTACACACAGCTCCATCCAGACACTGGCTGGGGGCTGGGGGCCCTGAAAGGGGTGACAACGGTCTTGGAGATGTCATTGGCCAGGGCGGTTGGGAGGGGCTGCCCTGGGCTCTGGGTGGCCGCCAGCGTCGTGGGGCTTGGCGTGGTCAGGCAGGCTCTGCGGCCGGCGGGGAGGGAGCCCAGACCCGCTTTGCAGAAGACCTGGGATGAGAACAGGACCGGCTTCACAGCTGGAGATGGAATTTTGCATCAGATGGCGAGCCCAACCAATCTCTGTGCTTCATTTATTCTTTAGGAGTAAGTGATAAAGTTTGACTGACTTGTGGCCTCAAAGGCCGCCCATCGCTCTGCCATCTGAAGGCAGAGCGAGCTGAGCAGGGCACCTAGAGGCCCCACTTACAGGCGTCCTGGGGAGCCAGGGGCCCGGGGCAGCTGAAGGGCGGGGAGGGCTGCTATTTCCAGTCCCTCCCTCTGAGGATCTCAGCAGTGCTTCACGACAGGGACTGCATTAAGGAACAGTGAGCATTCAAGCGCACCTGACTAATGACGTCCCTAACACTTCTGTCTGCACAGCTTGAGCTGTATTTCATATACCATGAAACTCACCCATTTAAAGTGCGCAGTTCAGGGTTTTTTGTACATTGACAGAGCGGTACAGGTGTCCCCACTGGCAAATTTCAGAACGTTTCATCGCCCAGAAAGAAACCCCGTGTCCACTGGCAGTCACTCCCCGCTCCCATCCCACCCCCAGCACTCCAACCCTGAATCCACTTTTTGTCTCTTCAGATATTCCTGTGTGGACGCTTCACACCCATAGGGGCCCCACACCATGGCTGACGCCACCCCTTGCACGGACTGTTCTGATTCATGCTGTGTCTCTCACTCCATCCAATGTCCGCCACTGTCCTCTCCAGAATTAGGAGGGAGCCGGGCTCAGAAACTCTGGAATAACTAACTTTTCCTAAGGCCACCTACTGGGGAGGAAAAAAGCTGGAATTCAGGCTTGGGACTTCTTGGTATGATCCCCAGAAAGCTTAGCTCTTCAACTGCAAATAACTGAAGTTTCAAGTTCAAATGGCCTGGTCCAAATGAGAGTGAGACCCGCTGGCCTGCCCCGTGGCGGCCGTCCCGGGCTCCCAGGCTGAGTGAGGCTCTGGGGTGGCAGCTGAAGTCTAGGCTGAAGAAAGGCGGCCCGGAGAGGCAGTGAGAGCCAGCCAGCCAGGGAACTGGCCCCCTGGGTCTAAACGTCAGAAGTGCAACCCAGACGAGCCCACCCCGAGCATCAGGACCAACAGAGGGCAGGGGCCTCCTCCCTCCCTTCTGCCGGGAGGCAGGACTCAGGACCCAGGGTGACCGGCCCCTCCCCTCTGCACTCTTCCTGGAGACTTTAGCCAGACTCCCTGCAGCAGGGCTGGTGGCCCCCCCCCCCGAGTCACGGAGGGAGGAGTGTTCAACACACTGCCCCCAACTCACAGCCACCTCCAGAGCCCCTGGCTGAACAGGCCTGCTGGGGAGAGGGGCCCCTCTGCACCTTGACGGTCCTGTAGCAAATCCCAAATATCCCACCCAGTAGAGATGGTCCAGTCACAATGACACCGGGGTCTATGCGGGCAGAGGCCTGACCTGGCTGGCACCCGGGCTCCCTGACTCCAGCAGGGCAGGCGGCTTGTTGGGAAAAGTAAGAGCCAGCACAAGGCTGGACCAGAGCAGGAGGAGGGTTCACCCGGGGAGAGCTGCCTTTCGACCTTCCTCGGGCAACAGGCCAGCAAGAGGGACACGCACTGGAAACACTCGCTGCTGGCATGGTCTGCGGAGCCGAGTCAGCCTGGCTGGCCGTCCACATGAGGCATCTTTCCAAGAAGGAGGCAGCTGGGGTGTGGAGCCAGCTGAGGGCCGGCACGGAGGCGGTGCAGGGGCTGGGGGTGGACGAGGGGCGGCAGGATGCTCTCCTCCTGCGTCACCGAATCCCCCCACCCGGACTGGAGGTCCCCATGGAGACCCCCTCCAGCCTGGCCTCGTGTTACCTTCTCTCTTCCTAACAAGCGTCTCGCCTCTTTTTGAGGCGTTTATCTCTGGCCCTGTCGCTCCTCTTCAAGCCACAGTTCTAGAAAGAGTGGTTGAAAATATAATTCCTCTTCTATCTCCTGTGTCCTGGACTCTACCCACCCCTCTTCCCCAGGCTCCCTGGGGAGTCCAACATCCTGCAGACCAGACCTCCTTCCTGAACGCCCCTCTGCACCTCCTCCACCAAGTGCTGCTCCTGGAACTGCATCCCCATCACACCCAAGGACTCCTGCTCCCGAGCGCCGGGATCACTGTGTCCTCATTCCTTTTCTCACTTCCCTAACCCTCTGCCCTGTGTTGGTCTGGTGCCTCCCCTGGCATCAAACACGACCTCTCGACCTGTATCTTCAGCTCCTACTTCTCCAAATTCCTGACACTTGTTTTTTTTTGTCAGCTGGGTCCCTCCCTCCATCTGATGCACCTGCCAGCTGCTCACTCGGGAAACCCCAAACCCATTGTTCCTCCACCTATAGCTTCTCTGGATACAAACGTTGTGGACCAGCCATCCTCCCAGCCTCCTCCTCTCCCACTGGCTCTCCCTCCCCAGGGAACATTCGTGTTCCCTCCTTTACCTCCTCCTGAACTTCCCTCCGTCCCGGCTAGGTATATTATAGTAAAAACATTACTACACAGTCATATAGTAATAGGAATGTTAACAGCAGCAATGACCATCATAGTGGCCAATACTTACGAAGCGCTCACCCTTTGGAAAGCTTTCCGTGTATTAAGCGGACAAAGCTTTGCGCCAGTGACACGAGGTGGTGCCTGGATTCTCCCCATCACGCAGATGAGTGAAGGTAAGGAGTGTGCGGAGCTGCCGTGCTGGAGAGCGTGGGCCCCCGCGTCTGCCAGCCTCAAACCTGTTTAACGCCCTTGTTTAACAGAGGCAGCTCCCCGAGGGCAGGACTGAGAGCGGCTGACTGAGGCTGGCGTCCCCTCCAGGGCTCATCCAACCCGAGGGCAGGGCCTCAGAGGACCCCAGAGACGAGGAGGCGCAGGCTGGAGCAGTGTCTGGAGAAGGCGGTCTAGCTTTCCCTTTGGTAGAGCTGGCACCAAAAAATCGCGTCCCCAGGAAGAATGCCCCCGGGACACTCTCCCTAGAGGCCGCCCAGCCCCGTTCACGGCAGCTGCTTCAGGGTCCTTGGAAACCCAGCACCTGTTCTGTTTTGCCCACATGTCCCTGGAGGTCCGAGGTGGCACCAAGGATGTGAAGCCCGGAGAAGGCGACCTGGGGGCCACAGCAGACCAGGTTTGGAGGGATGGTTGAGCATTCTCTCCCAAATTTACAGATTACATTTTAGCATTTTTTTGAGTTTTATCTTCTTTTAATGTGTTCCTTTAAGGGGTGATCTAACACTTGCAAGTTCCGGTGGATCCTCGGGCAAGAATCGGCAATTTCAGTGGGTGACGGGCTGTCTCTTGCCCCAGATGGTTAATGCTTTTCATTCACAGATGCTCCCACCCTCCCAGCACAAGGGGAAGCCTACCGGGAGCTGGGCACAGGCAACCATGTCGAACGTGTCAGCAAAGCCGAAGCCCTGAACTCACGCCAAAGCTCTCAGCCGTGGAGCCCCCTCCCCAGGAGCAGAGCGCCAGCCTCTCCCTGAGTGTCCGCCGGCGGTCACGCTGTGCCCAGACCGCTAAGCAGGAGCCGGGTCTGCGGGCCCCTGGGGGCAGGACAGCAGGAGAGGCCCCAGTTCCCCATGTGGGTCACGCCCGCAGTCCCCAGGCTCTGCTCACACAGCTGGCTCCCTCTCTAGGGGGACACCCGAGTAGCATGACACGATTACAGAAATTTCCAAATGTACCCAAGAGCTGACGGACTGGCATTTACTTCCCAGAGACCCACAGCCCAGCTTCAGCAAGTCCCAACCTTCAGCCAGGCCCGTGTCATTGACACCCTCACAGTGTCCCTCCTTTCTGGAGAAGGGGCTGGGCTATTTGGCACGCTCTAGATTAGCCTTCTGGTTCTGTCTGCTGCCTCTCTTTCCCTAACAAGAGCAAAATGAACATGCAAGCAGGCATTTCTTCCATTCGGTTCACTGCGTTAGCCCCGGAGCCCTGACAGGGGCCCAACACACAGTAGGTGCTCAGCAAACACTTGTTCAATAGCTGAGTGCATGAAATCGAAGTTTTAAAAAAATTGTGTTGGGGTTTTTTGGGGGGAAGGAGGAGATAATTAGGTTTATCTATTTATCTCTTTATTTATCTTAATGGAGGTACTGGGGATTGAACCTGGGACGTTGTGTACGCTAGTCATGCACTCTGCCACTGAGCTGTACCTTCCCTGAGTGCATGAATGAATGAACTTCCAGGCAGGCTCCGTGTAGACAATCGTGTCTCCCGTGTTCCCCACCTTCCGGGGCTGCTAGAGGGAGGGGAGGCAGCGGCTTCTCCCCACGGGCGGACCTGACAGGCTCTGAGCAAGCAGTCCCGTAAGCTCTGTGCAGGACAATGCTCCACCACGGCTGCGCCAAGGGGCAAAGAGCATACGCACACTATACCACACCCGACACAGCGGACCAGTGAATAACACGGGTCTGAGCTGCGCGGTTCCACCTACTCGCAGGGGTTTCCAGTTAACACATCTCTGCGCCGTCCAAGGATGGCTGAGTGCACACGTGCTGAGTGGCAGATCCAGAGGGCAGGCTGCGGGACCTGGGCACCGTGGGTTTTGGGATCCCCAGCAGGTCCTGGAACCAACCCCCATGGACACCGAGGGAAGACTGAATTTTTGACTGGGGTGGGGGGCTGGTGCCCTCACCCCCGAGTCGTTCAAGGGTCGGCTGTTTATTTACAGCCAGTTTGTCCTACAGGAGGGCACGCCCAGGAGGTCTGATACTCACATGCAACCACGGAACCTCGTCAGGTCGTTGTTCGGCTTCTCACACTCGATCACGCTGGTGAACGTCAGAGGGTTGAACTCGGAGACCTGAAATTACAGCACGGACGCGTCAGAGAGACCAGGGTGCAGCCGTCCATCCTGGCTTCCGTCTCACACCCACAGCGGGCACGCGGCCTGAAGAAGGACTCTGCCTCATAACCTGTGCAGAGTCCAGCACACACACAGACATGTCTACATAGACACACAGACGTGCACACACACAGACACCCACATAAATATACACATGCACACATGCACACACAGACACACAAGCCAGTACACACCCAACTCACACATACATATACACACAAAAACACACATGCAGACAGACGTATACACGTGCATGTACACACATGCATACACATATACACGTGTGCACACACGTACACAACACAATACACACCCAATTCACACACACGTATACACACACATACACATATGCACATGCACACACATAGACACCTACACATATACACATGCATATACATATATGCAGATATACACACACATACGCAGATATGTACACACACAAACACAGACACCTACACACATACACACACAAATATATACACACACACATACATACACAAAACACACCCAACTCACATATACACATATACAGATACACACATACATGCATACACACAGATATATGCAGATATACACACACAAACACATAAACACGGATACATACACAGACGCACGTGCCCGCACGCACACTGCACTTGGCCCGTGTGTCCTCGTTCTCACAGCGAGTGACCGCGCGTCACTAGAGGATGAGCAGTAGTTAGTAAGACGGGACCAGGGCACCAGGGAGTGCAAAGGGCTGCATCTCTAATGCCAACTAAGAGCCTGTGAGGTACGAGCAAGTGGAGAGATGGGTGAGCTTCTGGAGGCCGACCAGCACCTTCCAGCTTCCATACACACTGAGAGAAGCAGACTCCATGTGGCAAAGAGGAACTTACAATAAAAGCATCGTTTCCTCAATGTGTGCTAAAGATTCTTTGCAGACACTTGGTGAAAAACATTAAAACAACCAACATCTAAGCCAACAACTTCTTTCTTATTCTGCCAGATGAAGAAACAACAGCCCACCACCAAGACAGGCTTTCTCCGAGAATTTCGCCTTGACAGCTGACGGGCTGCCGCGCTCCCATGAACTGACGCGGAGTGGGGAGCAAAGAGGGGAGGCGGCGGAGGAACAGATCACTAAGTGCAGTTTCTGGAATTTTAAAAATCAGCTCGCTGTCATTGGGCTGGCCCTTCTCCTTCCTCCACCAAGAGTCACAGCGTGGTAAGAAACTGAACTGTCTCTGCTCACACAAGTGTATCATCACCAAGAAAAGTGCAGATGGTTAAAAATCAGAGGAATGGGCGGGGGGAGGGTATACAGCTCAGTGGCAGAGTGCGTGCTTAGCAGGCACGAGGTCCTGGGTTCAATCCCCAGCACCTCTATTGAAATAAATAATTACCTCCCTTCCAAAAAAAAAAAAAGGAAACAAAACTAAAAAGCAAAAAAAGAGAAAAATCAGAGGAATGGTATAAACATCGCTGACACCATTCCAGGTAACTAGCACTCCAGCACAGCACCGCCCGCCCTGGCACCGAACCCAGCCATGAAGGTTAAGTGCTCAAAAGTCACTCCCAACTGTCTTCCAGCACAGCATCTCCGTTAAAAGACCTCACAGCATAGAAGTAGCTCAATTCAACAGCTGAAACTAAAATGCCACTTTAGAAGGCTCTTCTCCTTTTTTTTTTTGAGATGACTAAAACTTTATTCAACTTAGTGAAGTGTAAAAATTGACTACATTTTAAAAAAAATTTCATTGAGCAATAGTCGGTTTACAATGTTGTGTCAATTTCTGGTGCCCAGCACAATGCTTCAGTCACACATAATATACATTTATTCATTGTCATATTCTTTTTCACCGAGAGCTGCCACAAGCTCTTGTATATATTTCCCTGTGCTATACAGTATAAACTTGGTTATCTATTTTATATATCCCTGTCAGTATCTAAAAGGCTCTTCTTGAAGTTGAATCAGCCATCGGTGCCCCCTCCCCCTGGACTGAAATGACCTCTGGCTCTGTTTAGAGTAAGGCTATGTTTCGAGGAGCCCTGTGTTTATCTAAAGCCCGGTGGATTATCTTGAAGCCGGCTGGTTGCCTTTTCCAGAGCAGACATCTGCAGATGCGGCAGCCAGCATGACCATGAAGGGAGTGAGTTCCACAGCACACCAGGGTTATTCTTGGCACTCAGGGAGAGCAGACTTAGAATACTCGGCCTCTGTTTATTATGCTTTCTCTCTAAGAAAAATGTCGTGTGCAGCTCCCAAATGGTGGAACATTCTGTCTCCGGGGCTCGAGAGCTGCCTTTGTGATGGTCTACCAATAACCACACACCTGGGGGATGCGTGTGCCAGGGGCACGGATGCCCGGCCTCACCTGCTTTGCCTGGAACTGGGCAGGGCTTTTAGAACTGGAGGGATCTTTGGAGACTGTTTGGGGTTGAACTGTGCCCTCTCACTCCTACCCCCAGAATTCACAGGTGGATTTCCTAACCCCTGTTATCTCAGAACGGGGACAGTATTTGGACACAGAGTCTTTAAAAAGATAATTAAGTCACAGTGGCATCCTTAGGGTGAATCCCAATACAGTCTGCCTGGTGTGCTTATAAGAAGAGGAAGTTTGGACGACCACGTGGATGCCTTGATCTCAGACTCTGCGGCCTCCAGCTCTGTGAGAAAACAAATTTGTCCTTAGTGACACGGCAGCCCTAACAACCTGAGACATAGACCGTCTGTGAGTTCCCCATTTAAAAAGGGCTTCACATCCGAGCACACCTTTTGGATGAGAAGATTCTACTTACATTGACTGTTTCCAACTTAACTGGCGATCCCATAACACCCTCATTTAAGAAATATATTTACTGATCCCTCCATCCAGTCAGCTACCTGTCTGCTTCATTCCAACCTGGCTTCAAGGTTTTGCCCAAGTCACATCAGCCAAATTTTGGCTGACTCGGCCTCAGTGCGTGGACGAAGGGTCCAGGCTACCCTTCCATCCCAAGCACGCTAACACCATTTTTTAAAAATGCAGATACAGAGTTGGGGAGGATGAAAAAGTTCTGAAGATGGATGGTGGTGCACGTTGTACAAGAATGTACCTAATGTCACAGAACCGTACATTTAAAAATGGTTAACATGGCCATGATTAAAAAGTCAACACAGGGAAAAGGGAACCTCCCTACACTGTTGGTGGGAATATAGTTTGGTGCAGCCACTGTGAAAAACAGTACGGAGGTGTCTCAGAAAACTAAAAATAGGAACTACCATATGACCCAGCAATTCCACTCCTGGGTAGATATCTGAAAAAAACAAACACATCATCTTAAAAAGACACAGGCACCCCAGCGTTCACAGCAGCACTATTTACAACAGCCAAAACATGGAAACAAGTCTGGAGACGATCGTATTAAGTGAAACAAGTCTAACAGAGAAAGACAAATATCATGCAATATCACTTATATGTAGAATCTAAAAATGAAATGACACAAATGAACTATTTACAAACGGAAACAGACTCACAGACATAGAAAACAAACATGGTTACCAGGGGGGTCTGGGTGGGAAAGGATAAATTGGGAGTTTGCAATTTGCAGACATTAACTGCTATATATAAAATAGATAAGCAACAAGTTTATACTGTAAAGCACAGGACGCTGTATTCAGTATCTTGTAGTCACCTGTAGTGAAAAAGAATATGAAAAGGAATACATGTATGTGTATGTAGGACTGAAACATGATGCTGTACACCAGAAACTGACACAACATTGTAAACTGACTATACTTCAATAAAAACAAAAATACTATATAACAAAATTAAAAAATAAAAATGGTTAAAATGGTAAATTTTAGTGTTACGTATATTTTACCACCAAAAAGTTTTTAAAAAGCAAATACAAACATTGAGACCTGATGGTGAAGAAACAGCTTACTTGATTATATTCCACTTGATTAGAACGTAGCTCAGAAATCCAGGAATTTCAGCACAAATACAGAGAACTTTAGATTTAAGCCAGTGGAGGGTTGTGTAGCTCAGCGGTAGAGCGTGTGTTTCTTTTTTTAATTAATAATTTTTAATTAATAATTTTTTAATTTCTTTAATGGAGGTACTGGGAATTGTACCCAGGACCTCTTATTAGCATGCACGAGGTCCTGGGTCCAATTCCCAGTACCTCCATTAAAAAAAAAAAAACTACATTAGATTTAAGCCATCTGAGGGCCCCTCTGTAACTGCATCACCTACATCATCATCATCAATTACCACTGAAATGCTCTGCTCTCTCACTAGATGCCAGGAATTTGCTCAGTGCTGTTCACCACCACTCACAGCACCACTATGAGGTCGGTGGTTTAATTTAATTTGGGGTGGGTCAAGGTCATGCCCAAGGTCAGCAGACCTCAGAGGGACTGAGGGAAGGTCCTTGACCTCAGACATCCAGCTCAGCCGCGGACCTCACCGAGCCTATCTCGCATCAGCAAGAAAAGACAATGCCGTGTATAATAAGCCAGAAAGTATACAGTTGATGCTACAGAAATTTCCATATACACTCACACACGTCTTAAAGTTTCAGTGTTTGCAGAAGCATGTGTCAAGTAAGTGTACCCCGGTCTGTGTGGCGACACACCCCTCCCATCTTCAGCAGTGCCCGTGGGTGCAGGGCTAGCACAGAACTGGAGTGAAAAGTCGGGAGCCCTGGGATTCACTCCGAGTTCTTGGTGAGTGAAGAGCGGGCGCTTGGACCCGGCTCTCCGAGGTGTCTGGAGCCCTGTGGATGCACAGGTCCAGGAACGCAGAGGTGGTGCTCACCCACCCCATGCTGTGACAGCCGTGGCATCGGAAGGCGCTGCAGACACAGATCACCAGAACGTCACAGGCTGTCACAGGCTCGGACTCCAGCCAAGCTGCCTGCTGTCTGCAGCCTGGTCACAGCACATCCAGTGTCCTGGGCCAAGTGCAGTCAATGACATCACTCACTGCAGAGCC